TGTAACATGTTGAGTAACAAAAACAATTTCGCCAATAAAACCACTTTATGGATTCTAATAAAAAAAATTCCTTGCTAAATTTTGCATATACTAATGCCTAGATAAAATTTCAGGCCACATCCTAACCCTAAAGTAAAAGAAAAGAGTTTTTTTAAAATACGATTTATTAGCTAATATCATATCTAAGATGGGTGGGGAGAATCCCCCCGGTTAAATTCTAGAAAATAAGTGTAATTTTATAGGTCTTAGTCATAATTAGAATATTGTTGAAAAATTATAGGTTTATAACTTTTTTTATACAATTTTGCTATCCACTTTTTAATTTATTAACCAATAGATTACAACTAGTAATTTAAACTCTCATGCCAAATTTAAAAACGATATTCGCGAAAAATAAATTTCAGAACTACCTCTTATAAATCTAATAATATTTACAAATTATTAAAGAACAATGCTATATTTTAAATACTGCTGCAAAAACCCACACGACAAATTAAAGTGCATATCTTTCTGGTCTGTTTTATCTTATTTTTTATTTCGAAAAATTATTTTAGCGGGAAGAATTAAATTTTAAAAGATTATTACTTTCTTCTAATAATTTAATATTAAAAAGTGATATCCATTTCGTGTAACATAAAATAATTAAAAAATCTGTACTAAAATCTATTAAGGATCCACATATAGGTTTGACCGACCACCCCAACGTAAATGTTATTCTATTTTTTGTGCATTTGCACAGCCCTATTGTTAATTTTGTGCAAATAACAATACAAACACTGCGAATTTTTAACACTGATATAACCTGCTCGCGCGAAATTCGAAGATTTACTACAAAGAGATATTTTTTCTATTGGTTTAAAATGTTTGAAATTTAATGCAATATTGCAATATATTCGTTATGAAAATCAAAACTTTGTATTCGTAAACTTGACAACACAACGAATCATATCACAAAATAGGCACCTAATTTATATGTGTATATATACAGTATTTCAGTAATAAACTTTCAGTAATAAAATTTTAATAACTAAACTCAAGAGATGGTGCTTATACGCGATAGGATACATTATATCGTCATTGCAAGTCGCAATTCTGTACCATTCAAATTGAAAAATAAAATCACAATCCAATCTTCTCTTTTAAAAATTTAGTAATAGTATCAACACCTTGAATTTCAGCTTCAACGCTATCCAATGAATGCCCAGTCTCTTTATACATTTTACACTGTATTTCCACTTTACCTTGCCCTTTCAAATAATACCACCATCCTAATCCATCAACGTGTGGTACTCTTTTATCATTTTCTCCTAACATCAATAAAGTTGGAATTTTCACTTTATCTATATTTGAAATTGATGAATTTTCAAACATCTTTGTATAATCTGATTGTTTGAGAATTGAAGGCTTGGATTGAGAGTGTGGTAAGCCTAGTTCTGCAAAGCACCTATTATATGAAATTATAATAACAAAAGTATATTCATAATAAATTCAGAATAAAATTATATTCCTTACCAGTCTGGAATATCAGTTACTAAAACCATTCCTTATTTAAACAAAATTATTAATAAAATAATTTAAAAACTAAAAATTTATAAACAACTTTATTTTATTTACCACCATTATTTAATACCGGATTTCTCAAAAAACAAGCTTTATAAATAAAAATATTAATATATTAGTAAACATATAATTATAAAAATTACTTGAATCAGAGATAATCTACCGGATATTTTCCAATATGAACATTTCTGAGTCAGAAGGATTTCTGAGTGCATTTAAAACGTAACGAAGTGCTATACCAAGTGCCATATACCCCATAAGCTGACATTGAATCAATGAACCAAATATAACACTGGTAAGTTAATTCCCTCTGTGGAAGAATTGATATTCGTCAAATAAATCATGCACCACACAAGAGAAAATGTCATTCTCTCGGTGTTCTTGAGAATTTTTAAATTTCTGAAGAAGTTTAATCATATCTTCGATACTAATCGCCTGACGATAAACTCGTTCATAATATGAGTTTGCTTCTTCTTCTTCAAAGTCATGTGAAAATGACGAAGGCTCAGTATAAGTCACAATGCTATCAGAGGAAGCTCTAATGTTCGTGAGACGTGGATACACTTGTAAGGCATCTCTATGTACCTCTATAAATAACTCAGAATTTTCTCCGGATATAGTACTGGTAATATAGTTAAGATTCAATAATTAGCTTGAATAAATGAATATAAAACTATAGTAAATTATAATAAACAGACCTATTATGGAGTATTCGTAAATATGTTGCAATTACATCATTAGAAAGTCTGACTGACTGAATGTTTCCATTAGTTTCGTGTGTTATTTCCAAAACGACCTTTCTATTCAGAAATTCCAAACAGTTGTAAATAAATGAATCGCCATATTCTACAATATTATCTTGAAGCCATTTTTCTAAGTTGAGATACTCTCGACGTGAAGTGCCGCCAAATCGATTGAGAAGAAAAAAGGCTGTATGGCCAGAAGTTGATTTAGAATCTAAAAAACATTGTAAAAAAAAAGATATTTGCCGTATTATACCTTTAAGTCTTGTGCAATGTCCAATATCCTAGAAACAGCCATAGCGTCTTTTTTGTGCATTTCAAGGCAGCCTTCTGTAAAAAGGTTACTATTGACTTGCCACAAACGTGTTAAGACTGTTGTTGAACTTGAATGGCCTGCTAAAAATATTGAAACCAATCGGTTCAGAATCTCTTGGTGTAATGCATTCCAAGGTTTCTGTAGAAATAAGAGAATTAATAGGATTGAAGATGTCCAGATATGAATCCACCATGACTACCACCAATCAATGCTATCGCATCAGGGTCAACCTCATTTTGATCAATGAAATACTGTGCGGTAGCCTAATTAAAAAAAAAAAAATTATTTAAAATTATATGTCATATCTAGGATATAAAATTTAATAATATGGTATCACTATACTGTACCTGAACTTCTTCAACTTCTAAATTACCTATTTTTCCAATAAGTGAATCGATGCAATCTTGGCCGAATCCAACACTTCCTGTGTAATTAACTATTTTAAAAATATATTATTATTTAATCTTTTATAACTTATTCCAATTAATAGGTTTTTAGCTCAATATCTAATAAAATAATAATAATACCATGTACAACAAAATAACTAGGGTCGATATAGTTAAACTGATACTTGTAACACAAACACCATGTGGTCCACCATGTGAAATAACAATAAGAGGTGGTTTCTTGTCTGAAGGAACATCTTTGGGCTTATAGACTATTAATTCCAAATAAGGATTATTTTCGAAAGGTTGCAATACAGAACAAATTGATTTGGCAAGAGTTGGTGTCACTACATATTAGAAATTTCATTTTTAGATTTACTAATGTAAAATTTTGATATAAGAATAAATGGGAATGTAAAATACCTTTTTCCACATCAGGCTGATCTATAACAGTCCAATTAACAATCAAATCATCATCACAACAACCAGTTACAACACCGCGTTGCTAATAATGATAATATAATGATGTAAACTATAATAATATAACAAGAATATATATATATTGAACTTACCAATTTATGGAATTCGGTAGTTGAACTTTGTGTTGCTAATATATACTTGTCCCATACAGATAATAAATTCCAGCTTCCTAACGTAGTTAACTTTTAAACTCTACCAGTGGATAATTTTATTGCTAATAGGACCTCTTGACTACGCCAATTACTGTGCATAAAAATGAACTCAACACCATCAATTGTAATAAAAGCCTTTAAAGGGATAATTCTCTACATATTCCAGGAAAGTTATTATGAAAAGATAGTGAAGGAAAACGTACTATAGGTACAATAAGGCGATTTTCCTTTGATGAAAAATTGTACTGCAAAGAATAATAAAATATAGAATATCGAATTATTAATACAAATAACGTGAGAATTTGATTAAGAGACATATATTTACCTCATAAAGTTCTGAACACCAGCTATGTGGACCACCAGTTGAATTAGACAGATAAATCTTTATCGATAAAGAATAAAAATAAATAATTATATACAGTAGTCGGAATAATTCTTGAAAAAAAAAAAAAAAAACATAACTTACTAAACTATTTCCTGACAAATTTAACCGTGGTGATTGCTTAGACGTTCTGTAAATAAGCTTTTTATTAGCCAATAGGATGGCGCATAAATGAACATAATCGCATCTATTTATACCCAGGTTAGACCCATCTGACATTGATATATTCCAATACTGCAATTTGATATTGTCGATGATTTAAACTTCTTCACGATCAAATTATTAAACTCACACTCGATTAATACATGCAGCAATGCCAAAACGTCATGGTTCATTGTTATATCCAATAAAAATAAGAGATTTATCTTCCGGGCCGAATTGAACCTTTTATAATAACAATGTAATAATGTGAAATAATTTTAATATAAACCAGATATAATAGTAATATAAATCTGTCCAGTATCAATTTTGTCGAATTTTGGTAAAACTTTTGCTTCATTTGTTGAAACGTTAAACACAACAATTAAAGGGACACATTTATTACTGAATCTTTCACCATAAGATTGTGTGTAATCAAATTTCTAATAATATAGTAAATTGTCATATTTGAAGTCAATAATGATTATTTAAATATAAACTATTATAGAAAGTATTCTTAAACTAACCCGGTCATCGGAATCATCTAATTCCTTTTGTTCTGCGATATAAACAGCTTTTTGCTCATCCTTTGACCAATACAGACCACCAAAATTGCCTTAAATAGTGATAAGTTAGATAACTCGGTTGAAAAACAATAACTTTTATTGCATGAATAATTACCATCAGTATAAAATTCTCCATGAATATCTGTTACATCCAAGATATTTACTAGTGCACCGAGTTTCCAAGTCTGTGAATTAAATAATCGCATATAAGAAAAAAAATATTTCATTTTTACATTCATTTTTTTTAAAAAAAATTCATATAGAAGTCAAATTACGAAAACTTACTTCAACAAATCTCTTTTTTCCTTTTCCATTTGATACAGTTCTTCAAGATCAAAAGTTGATCTCTGGATGGTAAAACAGTTTGTAAAACCACATCACCCAAATCAATTGGTAAAAATTAAGAGGATATACCCATAGACTTTCCATTATCCTCCTGTTTCAGAGACATGACCAATTGTTTTTGCAATAACTCGCTTTAGTTTGCGAATCAAGTCACGTTGGCTAAGAGTGACTTTAATGACTTTAAAATTTATGAAGTACCAATTTAATATTGTGTTTAAAAAAAAAATAAATAATAATGTAAAATAAAAGGATAGTTTACAAAGTAAAGAAGAGTTCGAAGTAGGCAAAAAATCTGCAGAGAGATACGTAGGTAATTTGACCAAAGCTTTAAACGTTTTAAGTGCAACGGAGTCTTCTTTCTCCTCTTTCTCAACATTTACATCACTTGTCGTCTTTTGAAGCATTTTTACCGCCAAAATGAATTATTAGTTAAGGATTCTATGTTTTTAGAAATTTTAATATCGATATACAACGATAATCTCGAATTTAAAGTTTTTAGGTTCTGAGTCATCACATGTGATACAAAGAAAACCTGATTTATTAGTTTGCGTCATTCATTTATATTATTTCTATAACGATGATTAATTCCTTTCCACCTAACATACGATATATCAGAAAGAAATTAGAAACTGAGATTAATTTAATGGTACTATAGCGATAGAGCCTACTTCCCTCTAAAGATGTTGAGTCTATTCGGTTGGTTATACGTAAGGTTGTTATAACTTACTTGACAACGTATAATAAATTTTGATTTATTTTGAATTCTAATTAATGTTCATATAACAGTTAATAAACATGACATTGATACTTTTACGTTTATTTATATTAAAATATTAATACAGTAATTTTTTTTATCCATCAAATTTTATACATCAAAAATTTTAGAAATGATATCTCGACGAATACTTATTAAAAATCAATTATTTTTTTACGTCTATCAAATTAAAAGCCGTTATAAGTTTTTTCAAAATCTTTAAACGAAGATATTTCGACAACCACCTAATGAAATTCGATATAATTTTTTTTCTCGCTATCCGTTCAAATTTCTTAACGATGTTTCTTTTTCTAAAAAAAAAAAAAAAAAACAATTGAGTACATTGTATGCATCATCGTGTCTTCCTAGTCCCTAAGGCAACCTTCCCATCTAGATTGATAAATTGGTTATCCGCTTCGGAGCGCATGTGTCTACACGGTACCGAGATACCGCAGCGTAACTTTCACACATGTCGTACTAGACATGTAAAAACATATCAACATATACTAATAGTATACTCCATGTAAAACATATCGACGTATACATATTAGCATACTCCATGTTAAAACGTATCACCGTACCCTCCTAAAACAGTCCTTGGTATAACCTTATCTTCTAGACTACTTCGGCTGTATCGGTTTCGGAACGCATGTGTCTACACGGTACCTTGCGATACCGCAGCGTAACTGCACACACGCGCGTACTAAGCATTAATACTCAGTAAATAATTTACCTTCTATCACAAGTCAAATCGTAAGGTCGTTAAAACCTAGAAGAAATTAAAAAAAAAAAAAAAAAAGCTAGTAAGAGTTAAAAGGTTATTTACAATATCAATAACATGAAAGCAGAGTAAATTTTAAATAAAACTTTTAAATCCCGTGGCACCGAAGTAAACTAGTTGGATTGAAAGTTCATAAACAAAAATAATAAAAGTTTTTTAGCAAGAGGAATAATAAGTTTATTCACAACGTTAAGTTTGTTTTGATTTCTATTTTGCAAGTGTAGCAAGCTCAACCAATCATTTTTCAAGATCAGATGTAACGTGAAAATCAAAACAACTTTAAAGAAAGTCGGGTTTATCGGCAAAATTTTGATTTTTTAAATTTCATGTTACATCGGATCTTGCAATTTAATTTGCTGCGCAGAATTTTTGTATTGTATTTTTTCTGATAACGATAATGTCAGTAGATAATACAAAGTTATTGCAAAGTCATAGTTAGCTGGCTATAAAATTTGGCGATTTTAGGAAAAATTAGTTGATTCCGACTCAACCGACCGGGATCCCGATGTTTTCCGATCCAGATCCAATTGTAGATCTTTTGTCCTGTTTTTCTTAACCACTTGTATGTCATTTGGTTATCAAATGTTCTATATTAGATATTAGGAATATTTCTTCGGACAAAACAACTGAATATTTAAGATGACATTTTAAAATAATATCGTAATCTCCCAGATAAGTAGAAATTTCTTCATCAATGTCAAGTGTTTCTTTTAAGTAATCATATTTTTGAACTACTTCAACATTAATTATGATGAAAATTAATTCTTGCATATTTATGAATGTCTTAGACAGATCGAAGAAGTATATATATACCATTATGTATTTTTGCGTTAATTTCCTATCCATTCATTATATAAGATTTTAACTTGATGAAGGTGATGTGGATTTCAATAATCGGAGTTGAATTAACTTAGATTTAAATATAAATATCCTAGTCTTAGAGTCTAAGGCAACACAATCAAATGCAATGGAAAATTTGGGATCTTTAGCGTTTGAAGATGGACTAAGCCTAACTAGAATCTTAGAATCAAAAATAAAAAGATGTTGTTTAATGATAAGCTCATAGAGAGAATACCAGTCTTCGTTTATACATCATAGCAATTAAATCTGTTCTGTTTAGTAGGAAAGTTGCTAGCACATGTTGGATAACGTCGTTCAGAAGTGATTGTAGCATACTTTATAATAAAAGTTCTGAAATGATAGCGATGAAGAAACGTATATATAATTTTATTAATTACTTACAGTTGTATTTATTCGCAGATACAGTTTAAAATAACAGGTAATATACTTTATATACGTACAGTACGTACAGATAAGTTACCTTTATCCAGTTACTCAGATCACAAAACCGATTTGCTAGGAAGTTTCCTTTTTAGGTTGTATCCGTTCAGTAACTTGGATTTAAACTGGACCTATAAGCTTCAATTTGAACTTATACTGTAAGTCCAATGTTCCAGTTTATAAGTCCAGTAGAACAAAGTTGGTCCAATTGGACAGTTGTATCATCTCTTGAAGGCGTCATCCTTCATTATAGTCATCTTGTGGTAACGACTTGTTACTGGTACCAGTATGTTGATCAGTGGTGTATGCGACACTATTCTGAAAAAACTCCAAGACATTCTAACTGTGACGATCCGGTTAACCAGTTTGTTAAAAATAACATGATCAGGATGATTACGACTTATATTAGAATTGAAATATTCGCATGAAATTTTTACAGATATAGCTATTGGTTTTCTAAAGTCTTTGAATAAATATGTAATGAATTTTTTAAATTAAACTTACATTCGGATTCAGATTTGCTTCTTAACTAGTCAATATTTTAATGATTGTTGAGGGAGAAGGGCTTTCCTGACGGTCTGAACATTTACCAATTGAACTGGTATAAAATTTATAAATTTTACAGACGTTCATTCTGCAAAACATATATGCAAAGAAGGTCATAGAGAACTAGATAGAATTTAACATGCCTTTTTCTTTTTATTTAGCATGCTTTCGTAGCCTTATTATTCGCGTAGGTATAAAAATATTTTGTCGTCATAGTAAAAAAATAATAATATTTAGTTACAAACGTTAGATTTAATATTTAATAAAATTAATTAAAATCAATTTAATAGTTTATACAATTAATTTAATATTTAATATTTAATAAATTAATTTATTTTTTTATATTTATATATTTTGTAAAATCTAAATACTAAATAAATATTTACAGTATTTTTAATTTAATAGTATTAATTATTAAAGTTATTTATAATAACAGATAAATACTAAATTTAAAAAAATTTTATATAAATTTAACAAATTTAAAAGTTTATTGCGCTTTGCAAAAAGATGTGAACACTGCAGATCATTTTGTCATGTGAGAATCGGAGATTTTGCGATTTCAAA